AACTGTAAACAAACGCACGTGAAAGCCAAACAGGGTCATACTGAGATCATATGATTTTTTAAAATATTTACTTTTGAAACTATTAGTGTGCTAAAATAAAATATTCATTAACTAAGAGATACATAACAAAGTGAAAATTTTGAATAAAGTAGCATTGTCATAAGTTTATCAAAGCATAAAAACATACTATTTAAATTACTCAGAGTCTGAGGAGCTACATGTGCTGCTGTCTTCGTCTGGATTTATTATTATGGGTTCGATATGGTTCTCTATTACATCGTCCAACTTTCACATTTTGGACTCGACTTTTTGTTGAACGTGTTGCACACATTTCTGCCACGTAGTTGGACTATTGCATCATAAAAAAATATTTTTCATATCTGAAAATTTAAAAGTAGTGTTTGTGGCTTCTACATAATTTTTTACTTCTGCCTAGATGAGCTCAATTGGATTGAGCTTACAATGGTATGGTGGCAGCCTTAACACTACTTTGTTTGGGCTTTTTGCTATCTCATCAATGATATATTTATTATATTGTCCCTTATCTTCCTTAACGATAGCCAGTAGTTGCATTTTTAACATGGAGTCGTCAAACACTAATTTTTTTGATTTCAGCCACGCTTAGATGTCGTTTATCTAGAAGCAGTAGTTGGAATTTTTTCCAATTTTCTGGAATGATAAGACGTGTTGTCCAATACGATAATGGAGTTCTAATCGGGGCAGTATGTTTTTGAACCAATTTTCGAAAGATCTCTTCATGGTAGTCCCCACTTTTTTTATTTAAACACCCACAGCCCTTCTGGGATAAACCCATCTTCATTGACAATGTGACAGATGATTGTGATAGAAAAAGCACATAAACCATAAACATTTACCTGCAGGATTTTTTAACCCCGTAGAAAGTCCATCTAAAAACGTTTGTTTATAAGACGTTACCGAATTGTTGACTCATACTTTAGATTTAGTGTGACCAGCGTTTAGCCAAGTCTCGTCTAAGTAGTAAATTTTGCGGTTTTCATTTCTGTAGGACTTAATTTTTATTAGAAATTCTCGTCTCCACAAGACAATCTCGTCCCTGTCCATCAAAATGCTGTTTCGCTGGCGACGTTGAAACTTAAAAGTTATTTCTTTCAATAATTTAAAAACGTAGTTCTTTTGAAGTTAGGCAAAACCGGATCTTCATTAACAACCCTCAGAACTTTGTCTATTGTGGGTATTTCATTTTGAAAAAAGAATTGATAGATTATTCTTGTTGCTTCTCTGTCAAATTCATCTAGCGAGTTAACAATACTTTTACGATGTTCAACTGATTTTGGTGTCGACAATGTTCCCGCAATTTCATATTCATGAATCACTACGGCTACACATGCCTACAATAGATAAAAAGTAACAATATTTGTTAAATAAAGTGAAAATGCGTACTCTAAAATAAATAATGGAGAAACAATATCAGTACGTGTTTTATCTGCTACTCTAATAGAAATCGCATTTTTCGACATTGTAGGGTTCTCCTGCATTTCCGTTTTAAATACATTTATAATTATTTTCTTCGTTTTAACGTCAAAATATCCCTTTACTGGTCTTTTTTTTAGGTGGAGTGAGGGTTAAATCAATATCAAGGAGTTCATCGGCTGTATCCGTGCTTGACATTTTTGTTATTCTATTTATCTTCAATAACTTAATGTACTTAGTTGATTGAGAGACTGCCAAAATAGCCTAGGTTAAAATATGTATTGTAATAAAACCAGCATCATCGAAAATATCGGTAAAGTTATGAAGCTGCATTCTGTATACTTTTTCAAGTCCAGAAATATTTCATTCACTCACAACTTCCACAAAGAACAGCGTGGATTGACATGACATTTGGCATACATATAGCTAACATGTTAAATAAAAAAAGTTATATTGTGCCGATGTGTGTTTTTGCCCTAGTGGTGAGTTTCACCCATTCTCAGGGGTGAAAAAACATACTTTCAAATTAAGTCAGAAATTGGATAAACCGACTAATTCTAGGCAACCTCTGTTCTATAGAGTTTTTTCACTGAGTCAATACTTTTCGAGTTATTTGCGAGTGAATATGTTCATTTTTCAACAACAAAAAAAAAACAAGGTTTTTAGACGGTTTTTGCAAATAACTCAAAAAGTAAGTATTTTATCGAAAAAATATTCTTAGCAAAAATATAGCTTATAAAACAGCAAAAAAATGGTGTACGTATAAAGCCAGAAGCACATTTGTAGCTAGTGAAAAGTAGGTTCTTATTCATCAAATTCCAAATCGAGTATTTCAACGTGAAAGAATAAAAAACAAGCACTTTCCCCGACAGCGAGTTTTCCCCGAAAAGTGCTTCATTTTTTTGATATTTCTTGTTGAAATATTCGATTTGAAATTTGAATTACTTTTCATTAGCTACAATTCACTAGTACATCATTTTTTCTAACTTTTTTATAAGCTATATTTTTGCTAAGAATATGTTTTTCGATAAAATACTTACTTTTTGAGCTATTTGCGAAAAACCGTCTAAAAACGTGTTTTTTTTATTAAAAAATGATCATATTCATTCGGAAATAAATCGATAAGTATTGACTTTGTGCAAAAACTGTATAAAATAAAAGTGGCTTAGAATTAGTCAGTTTATTCAATTCTGGACTTATTTTGAACGCATGTTTTTTCACACCCGAGAAGGGGTGAAACTCACCCCCATGGCAAAAGCACACATCGGCACAATATCACATTTTTTCTTTGTCGTTAGCTATTTATATGCCAAATTTCATGTCAATCCAAGCGGTTCTTTAATATTTACAGCAAAAACCGTGAATAAATGGACTAAAAAGGAAATAAAACTTTTCGAGACATCAATAAATTAAAATATTGGTTTCTCTTACCTTTATTAAAGTGATTACCGCAAGCTGCTTTTACTTTTGATTAACAAATACTTTGTTTTTGGATACTAAAAGTTCGCTACACACTATAAAACTTAATACTAAACACTTTAACTAAACTCTAAAAAATAACACGACCAGTAAATAACTTACAATAACATATAACACACAATATATTGACTTGAAACCCAACACGCTACAATTTGAATTTTAACAGACTGACCTGTTTGGACCTGTAAAATGAGAATCCGTCTGGCTTAAGGCAATAAATTATATTTAATAGCCTCCTGACGAATGGGAGGGCGAATATCAACACGTGCGTTTGTTTACAGTTGGGAATTTGCTGAATAAATGTACTTTATATATGTTGTTTGTAGGCCATGTATATCACAGAACTATCCAGTGGACTACGAGTAAGATCACTACAAAATAGCCAAAACCAAGGACCTCAGTCAAAATCTTTACCCAGATATTTCAAATTAAGTCACAATCCCAGTGGTGCAGCTTTAACGTACTATGATATTTCTAAGGATAAATTGTATGTGTCAAAAAGTATTGGACTTATTAGCCAGCACGGCTATGTTCATGCTATGCGGATATTTTTGGAAAATCTTTATAGGTATGTTAAAGTTAAATTTCCATATATTATTTAATCACGGATTCGTCAACTAAAACTTTTATTTTCAATTCAATTAGATCGATAACTTTATAAATGATAACATTAGGGTGGAACGAAAAATTGTTTTTCTTAAATCGGTCATACCTGACGTACCGAAAGTTGTGCAAGTACAAAACAAAAATTTTCAGAAAATTACAAAAATATATGTCAAGTGCTTCCACCGCCTCCTCAGGTCTCCCAGTATTCAATTCATGATGGAAGTAGAGTCTGAAGCGTTTTTGCTATTAATTGATGTTCTTATCAAAAACACCCATCTCGCACGTTTTCCTATTCAGTATTCCGGAAACCCACACATACAAAGTGTTATCTCAATGCCCTGTCACATCATCATCCCGCCCAACTCAATTCAGTTATCAACACTGTTGTTTCCAGTTCCATAAGACTTAGTGACGACAATAACAGTTCATCCGAAATTAATTCAATAATGTAAACTTTCTTGCAAAACGGCTACCACAAAACCAAAATCAATAGAAGCATTCAAAAACATCTAAACCCTATTCCATATTTCTACCTTTTATGAAAGTTATCACTAACAAAATCAGTAGAACTTTTAATCCTGTGAACATTAAAACCACCGTCACTACTCACTCCAAGTTGTCCAATCTCATCAGATCCGTAAAAGACCAAATCCTCAATGAAGACCATGGTGTCTATGGGATACCTTGATCCAGTTGCCCATGAACATACATAGGACAGACAAACCGACGAATCCACAACCGTATTTACGAATATTCTATATCTGTAAAACATTCTGATACTACTTCAGCCCTAGCCCAATATCATATTGAGACAGGTCACAAAATGTATTTCGAAAAAGCAAAAACCATCGCTCCTATCCGCTCCTTAAAATCGAGAATTATCCTTGAAGCCATGGAAATTGAAAAACGCACGCGATGATGCTAAAAGACTGCCGGCAAGCGTTCCCCGCGCCAACCGATCCCGCTCAGACCGTTTACGCGCGTATTGAGGGTATAAAAGCAGCTAAACAGGGTAAGACCGGTCACACATTGAGGAATAGGTCGTTTGACGTTTCTCGTATTTCTGGAGAACAAGATACTGGTACGTCACGAGGGAGGGGAATAGGCAGATTGAAACCCAGAACTCGAATGGAACAATATCCCTTCTAATAATGGCTCCAAAATGGGTGCCGTGAGTTTTAAATTTGTCAACGCAGTTCTTCACGAGAACTTAGTAATTTTTGTATATATATATATATATATATATATATATATATATATATATATATATATATATATATATATATATATATATATAATAACTTTTAATAATAAAATATTTATGATTTTAGATGTGTTCCGAAACATTCAAACTCAGCTGGTTCTCTAAGTTTGGAAAGTTATGTGTTCAATTTATTATACGAAGTAAGCACACCATAATATTATATTTTTTTAGTTGTATTTTTTCATAAAAATAATTTAAGGTTCAATTACCTACACCCGGAAAAAGCTTGTTGGTTCACTTGCCACCGTCAGATCCTCAGTTACCACCGACAAACGTTATAATACAAAATTCTCTGCCTCCCTTGGAACTTCCACATCACGATTACCCTCTTAGATTGCTGTTTTTATGGTTGGGAGTCGACATCGCTGTGCAGCTATTTACTTGTCTTTTATTAGAGTATCAGGTACTCTTGAGGAGTACAGGTAAGTCGGAATTCGTTATTTTTATTCAACCAAATGCATACGTGTCGGAATTTGTTGCTTTAGACTATTAAAAATATGCTAGGTCGAAGTAAACCATCACTTCCTTCTATACAGTAATTTAAATACATTATTTTCCATGGTGAAGTGATCAACCCAGAACAATTTAGTTTATTATAATAACTGTAATAATATTAAACATTTACAAATATTTTTTCTAAACATTCTAATTTTTAGTTAGCCTTTGTATTATAGTTTTTATTTAGATCACTTTTTTAGATCCTCAAAAACTAATGGTTGTGGCTGAAGGCATCACGTCTTTGCTATTTCCTTTTACTTGGCCTCATGTCTACGTGCCAATTATGCCAGCATCTTTACATCATTTTTTGGACGCACCTGTACCTTTTTTAATGGGTAAATACTTAAATAATCAATTATTACTTAACTTTTCAATTAAACAAAACACTGAAAATAATTTAAATTTTCATAATAATTTATTACTGTAATTTAAAAATTACACGCGCACTTCTTCAGGGCAAAGTGTGTGGAAAAAGAGGACCAGAGAAAAGAAGAGAAAGAAGAAAGGTACCGTAAGAAAAAGAAGACACATACACACAACAACAGAAATTACAGTATAAGAAAAATACTTATAAAATTGCTCTAAAAGTCAATTAAGCAAAATAAAAATTTAGAATTTATGTTGCTCCTAGGATTGCAAATAGTTTAATTCAATTATTCGATGAACCGATTTCGCCTTAAACATTATGATATTCGATTACACGTTTACAGGCTTCCCGCTGAACACCACTCTGGTGCTTCAGTAAGATTCAAAGTTTTCTAATGGTTTGGGGTTGAAAAAGTCCCGAGGGAAAAACCGAAACTTGTAGTATCTCAGAAAAGTCTAAACAGTCAACATTATATCTATAATGTTCTAGAAGAACATATCTTACCTGCTGTTCGGTCCGACTTTGGCTCTAACAGCATTCATAAAAAGCATTCATTGCAGAATGCATCAATATGCACAAAAAACATCTATAGAAGATCGTACGAGAAAGTCCTGTCTGTGATGCCCTGGCGATCCTCGTAAGAGGAGCCACTAGAAGATCCTTACCTTTCTGAAGAAGTGTTGGATATATAATCCAGATGATTCATAGATTTCGAAGGTTTTTATTGTCCATTTTAACTTCACTGCATAAAAGATTCAATTAGTCAACTATTTTTCTAAAGAAAATGCATCTATCACATTGTTTTGTTTATAGTGTAGTCACTTTAATTACATCTTAGATGACTAGACAATACTGTATTATAAGTTACTCAAAATTAAATTGAGAAGATTAAAATATTGTTCTTCAAATTAACAGTACCTATATAAATGATACAGTACGTTAAGTTTTGGATCAGGTATACACTCTATAAATGGCAACACTGCACGTCGTCGACTTGCCACTACATATCTGCTTCGTTGACTCGTCATTGCTCGTCGCCCGTCGGCAAATTTGTCATATTGTCATTATACCGTGGTTGTTTAAAGGTATAACAGCGTAGAGTTTTAATTTATTTTTGTAAACATGTCTGTTTATATGGCCGCGGAAAAAGCTCAAATAATAAAATGGTTTTATAGTGGCAATTCTGCGCAACAGTGTGTAGATTTATTTTCTGTGTTTTTTGAGGGAAGACCAATTCCTTGTGTACAGTCAATTTATAATATTGTTGTTATTGCCTCAAAAATTGCAGAAAATGTCACGCTCAAGAAGTGTTACCAGAAAAAGTTGAGGAAAGAGAATACCGGGGTACACAAATTTGTGCAACAATCGAGGTAGATTCAACGCGTTCAAGTAGAAGCGTTGCTAGAGAGTTAGATGCTAGCAATGTTACTGTAACGAAAGTATGGAAAAAGCACGGTTACAAGAATTTTAAATATTCGAAAACGCAGCAGTTTTATACAGACGATTACTTTCGAAGAATGGAGTTTTGTGAAACTCTAATAACGAAGGCTAATAGTGAACCAAATTTTATTAAAAACATTTGCTAATAATATTTTATTTATACAAAACAATCCTTCCATTACGAGGTATTGGGCGCGGGAAAACCAGCACAGAAGTGTTGTTTACCGAACTCAACGTCCTCAAAAAGTTAACGTCTGGACTGGCGTTTTAGGAGACCACATAATAGGTCCATTTTTTATTGAGGGCAACTTGAATAGTAGAGTATACCTCGATTTGTTACAGAATCATATTCTTCCCGCTATTTTCAATCTTCCTGATGTAAATCTGGAGAATGTTTGGTTTCATCAAGATTCACAACGCTCGAATTATTAGGGCGTATTTAAACAATACTTTCCCGAATCGAGTTATCAGTGGAACAGGCGATATTAAGTGGCCTGCGCGATCTCCAGATCTTACACCCATAAACTTCTTTTTTTGGGGACATTTAAAAAGCATTATCTACAATAATCCTGAGGCTAGAGCCCAAAATTTAAAAAATTAAAAAATCGAATAAGAGAAGTCTCCAATTCTGTTACAGCAGAAACTCTTTCATCTGTTCGCAGAAGTTTTTATGACAGATTGGGGTACTCTTCAGCCATAGAAGGTCAACTATTTGAACCATTTCTGTAGGTCATAAAGAATTATTTTTTATTTTATTAAGAATAATATTTTAATTTTCAATAAGAGTTAAGAGTATATTTTTATTTTATCTTTTTAAAGAAATACGCTTTTATTTTTAATTCAACCACAAAAAATTTTCACATTAATAAAAATCGATAACAATGCACCGATTAGGTCAGTGCATTTTTATCGAATTTCCTACTATTAAAATCGGCTATACGTAATGAAACATGAGATCGGACGACAGAGAAGTACATCCCAAACGTTGTTGTGAGTTACTAAACTAAAATGATTTTCTGTCGGTGCAGATAGTCTCGGATCGGAGAACGAACATTTGCAACGTTGCCGATTTTAGCGCTCCGTATAGTGTGCAATACCTAATCAAAAACTTAACGCACTGTATCTAAGACTTTTATTTTGATCGAACAGTCAAAAACTGTTCAACTTCATGATCACAAATGATCGTAATCAAAAGTAATTTTTAGGGTTATATGCGACATCGGAAAATCTCAAAGTGGCTTCAGAGGCTAATCTGTGTTATGTAGATATAGATAAATGTAAAGTACAGCTACCCGAAGAGATGGCAGCATTTCCGCATTTAGAGCCATTCACTGCTGAAATTTGGTCTGTTCTTGATAAGTACAGCGTGCATGTACCTAACAGTGAATTCTCCAGAAATACTCAGGTACACTTGTTAGACTATATTATTTTATTACATGTATTATACACTCACCGACACTAAAAATGGAGCACTAACATTTCTAAAATAAGAACTTAATTAATTAAACTTTTACTCAAAAACCCTTTAAACTTTTTTTATTTTAATAATGTAAAGACAAACGAAACAAACTGTTTTAAGTAATTTTTAATAAAAATTTAACTTTTGAATAAAGAACTGTTTCAGTAGATAACAATTTTAAAATTAAGGAAAAAACGTAAGTAAATGCAACAAATAACTCGATTAATGAAAACTTAAATCATGTGTCAGGACAAACTGATTTTAATACTGAATGTTTCCTCCAGGTGCTCGAATTATTACCTGAATTCTCCTTAGCATGCCTAAAATCAAGTGATAAATGTCCTGTTGAGGAATAAGTTCCCATTTGTTTAAAAGGGCTTCTTGTAGTTGATTTATAGTCTAGACGGGATCTGTTTTGGATTGGACATTTTCCATAGGAAGCTATTTTTTTGCTGGAATCCCTTCAGGATGTGCCCAATATAGATAATCACGATATGCGCCAGTTGCAAACTATGTGTTAAATTTTTTATTTAACAAACTCTGAAAACAATTTAAAATTTCTCATTTTTTTGCTCCTATTTTCGTTTATAATTCGGAAAATATTGATCATAGAGAAAAAATTATAAGAAGTTTAAACTTACGTAATTCAATTTTACACAATATTTTGTTAGCTAGAAATTGAAAATTTAATGTTTATTGTTGAAAAAATAGCAATAATTGGAAAAAAAAGTACAAAAAAATAAAGTTAATCCTTTAAATGTTTTTGACTTTCTAAACTTGACTTACAAGCTCCATATTCCACCTAGAAAAACTTTTTAATATGTTTAAAACGTGTGCTAATTTTTTTAAAGATCGGTCGGATAGGTTTTGCATAATAATTGTGCAATCCAGCCTACTGGAAAAAAATCGCAAATTTTTCAAATTTATAGTAGGCCCTAAATAAGGCCCTCAGATAGTTCCAAATTTTTTTACGTATGAAGGAAGGCTCAAACTTTCAAACGCTTTTTGTAAAATTCAAATCGGTTCACTAGAAGAGCCTAGAAATTTTTTTAAAGTTTTAAACATTTTTTAGACTTATAAACAAATTGAATAACTTTACGAGCTTTAAACATATCATTTTCGAATCAAAATATTCCCAAATCAAATAATGTCATTATTATGATAAAACTGCAGAAATTAATTATTTTAAAAAGTTTGATTTTTACAAAAAAAAAAAAATTTGTTCGCCTTTGTTTTAACACTTCAAATTATTTATTAACAATTTATAAATACAGATTTGTTTACTATAAGTAACAATATATAATAACAGTAACAATTTGAGTTTTTAAAACAAAGGCGAACGAATTTTTTTTTGTAAAAGTCAAACTTTTTAAAATAATTAATTTCTGCAGTTTTATCATGATAATGACATTATGTGATTTGAGAATATATTTTGATTCGAAAATGATATGTTTAAAGCTCGTAAAGTTATTCAATTTGTTTATAAGCCTAAAAAATATTTAAAACTTTTTTTTAATTCGATTTGTAAATAAAATGTTTTGATTATGACTTTAATTTAATACAAAACATAAAATGTTTGATGTAAAATCCAATTATTCTGTTATTTATCAAATTCTATTATTTTATCCTGCTGATATATTTATTTTATTTAATATTTCGTTAACTATTGACTTTATTAAAGGTATTTTATAACAAAATTTAGAAGTATTGATGTTTTTATCTATTTTTCTTTCATTGTCTGGAGTAATTGCGTTAAATCAGAATTATGCAGTTGATTTGTAAAATGCGATTGTCTCGAAAACTGTTGAGTTTTGAAGTTATTAACAAGAATACCTTTTTTTTGTTAAAATAATGTATCTTTAATATTTTTTATCAAAAAAACCGTAACTTGAAGAACAAAAAAGTTAAGTGCAAATGTATGCCACGTATGTGGCATATGTGGCGCCCTCTATTAGCTATATCAAAGTATGCATCAAATTATAATTCCTGATATTAAGTAGTACCCAACTGTAAAGTTTTGTACATAAATGTTTACAAACATGAAAGTTATAGCGAAAAATAAAATTTTAAATTTCCACTTTAACACCCTGTATCTTTTTTAATATCAACATTTTATTAAAGCAAGTTGGCTTAAATTGTAATATTTTAAAGTATAGAATCTGCGGTTTCTTTTTGTACAATTACTTAAGGACCACCCTGTATATGAGTGCCAAAACAGTGCAAATTTGCACCCAGTGCAAATTGTGTAGATTTAGCATGTATTTATGATTTGTTATAGTATCACTATCTGTTATTAATTTTAGGAAATAATCTCAAGAAGCAGTACATTACCGGGTCGTCCACACAACCTGCGAAAACTGTCAATTCATGATACTCTAGATAACGAACGGCCTCCTTCTCCTCCTGGTTCAGCCAGATCGGAGGCTTTGCAAAGAATAGCGGACATAGTTCGCAGGACTGGTGTAACTTTAGAGCCAAACGAAACAAATCAACCCTCAGATTCCTATTTTGAAGATCTCAGATTCAACAATGCACTTAGAGAGATATTTTTAAATAGATTTGTGCACATATTTCAATCCTATGAGAATTTTGTTATATTTCCTAATCAGGTAAGTGAGATATGTTTTATTTATTTAATATTAAGTTTGATTAAAGCCCATTATGGCTTGGAGTAAGAATAAATTGCAAATAACGAGTTTTTCGAAAACTTGTAACCTAATGTGAATCAAAATTTCCATTATTTTTTAATTGTGTCCAAAAAGGGTGGTAATTGAACTCTAATCTGCTGGTCAATTTATTAACTCCACACACGCAATAATTATTTTCGACCAGAACGTAACTTTAAGTTATTTTTTTATTAGTTTGATTTATAATTACAATGGAAATGGCTACTAATTAATGTTTTTCACTCTCTAGCCACGTATAAGAACTACCTTTATCTCATACTATCTCACAAATTAATATGTCTTCTATCTTTTTCGTTATTTTGCCGGGTCTTAACCCACTCCTATTCGATTGGTGTCTTGAATCTACAATAACATGATCTATCATATTTACTATGTCTGACTGGTGATTTCCGGGTGCCTTTGTGTATATCTTTTAGAGTGATTGTTCTATACCACGCAATTTAAACGTTTACTTTGCATTACTTGAGTGCAAAAGTTTCAATGTAAGAAGTACGAAAATAAAAGATGATAAAAAACTGCTATTGCATTATTTGTAAGATGTATTATAAAAACAATATGCAATACGAACAGAGTTTCCTAACTATTCATCATTGGAACTAACTCCTAATTACACTTTCCAATCGATTTCGCATGAATCAGATGACTTTTCTAATAAATTCTGAGGCATTGCTTCCCATTTATCATTCAGCGCAGCTCTCAATTCCATTATGCTTCTTGGTGCTTGATTTTTGTCTCGGACCCTTCGTTTAAGCTCATCCGAAACATGCTTTATTGGATTTATTTCCGGGCTCAACGCAGGCCAATTTACTGTAGGTATACCGATCTGCCAGATAGATGGTGGGACTCGTGCATTAAAATAAAGGTAAATAAATCCCGCGTATGGAACCACATGTTTCTCGAAAGTGTCTCTGATGTAATGATCTCCTTCACGTCCTCCACCAGGCACGAAAATCAACTCGGTTTTCTCATCCATGGAAATGCCTGCCCAAAACATACAAAAACCGCCTCCATATGATACAATTTCTCGTATACAACATTGAGCAAATCGCTTTCCTGATCTTCTATATACTTACTTGGCTCCTCTTGTCGTTGCCATATAGACAGATCCTACTTTCATCGGAGAATAATACCTGATTCCATTGATAGTCATCCAAATCCAGATGTTTGCGAGAATATTCTAATCGCCTTTGCTTCTGAGCTACAGTTAGCTTGGGATACGTAGCTGCCCTTTTTGGTGTGAGGTTGGCCGCCTTCAGTCTCTTTCTTACTGTCGAAAAGATGTTAACCATACCTCGGACCTCTATAAGCTCTTCTTTGAGATTAGCACCACTCAAATGTCGAATTATCAGGAATTTCAATACAAGAAATTTATCATCTCTCTCCGTTGTTATTCATTTATGGCCTCCTCCTTGTTGGCATACAACATAATCACCAGTGTCTTGTTACTGACGATACACTCGGGACACAGCATATTGGCTTAAATTTAGTCGATTTGCCACGGCTCTCTGGCTCAAGCCTTCTCTCAATAATGTTCTCATTCCTATATTCTATACTCATTCCATATAAGCTCCATATACTCCAGTAATTGACGAATCCGGTCATATATTTTCGAAAAGGACTTTTGGCTTTGCTATAGTGACTGAAAACGGTAACAAGTGAATCAATGTGGTCTCTGACCAACTGCTTTCTATATCCAACCATTTTATTTCCTGGACTTAGCTTCCCTCTCTTTTCACCCAGTACAGTTCCTGTGGTGGTCTGCTTGTCTAAAACAACGCGAACTCTTTTTTCGCTTATGCCAAGAAAGCTAATAAAAGCCTGACGACAAACAGATTTTCTTTCACCATTTATTGAAACACTATATTCTATGGTCCGAAGCTTCCTACTAGCTCTGTCAGTAATAAAAAAGACTTTTTACGATCATTCCAAGTTACCGTTTTTGAAAGGTATTGGTTTTGATTATCGTAGTTGCCGATTTGCGAAAAGATATTGAAAATCATATTGATATTGTTCATCCCCACTTTTCAAAGCACATTTTACGACACTTACATGCCAGTCCGATTGTGCGCGCAGATACAGTTTTCTTTGTATTTCTTGAAACGTACGCTTCACCATGTTTCGTTTGGTTGTACACACTTAACAAGCCATTGTTCCGTTTTAACAACGCATATATCTGAGGCTATATCTCACCAACTGCTGAAACACCGGCGCGTTGGATACGGTTACAAAGGAGAAGGTGCGAAGCTTGAACGAAAACGCAACGAAAGCCTGTGGGTTCGCCCTTGCTCTTCTACACGATTATGTAGTTCAGTTTCTGACTTAAATGGGTTGGTATATTATTTCTTACAGAATTTTAGAAATACGAAGGGAGAAACATACTTTTATAATATACACAAGCATTCTTTAAAGGTTTGTGAGAAAGATGAGACTGTTTTTGAAACGTCCACTTTGCGAGTTCGTCCTTATGCTTCCAAGCTCCTGATATATTTTAACACATTAGCGTACCAGTGACGGAGTCAAATTAATAGTATATTAATATATTTTAAATATTTAGTTTGCAGCTAGAATATTATTTTTGAATGCTCATGAATATTTTTATTATAGGACAAAGAAGACTGGTTTAATAATAGAGACTCCATGCAAAACTTTGACAAAGCTTCTTTTTTATCAGATCAACCCGAACAAGACAGAATGTTTTTGTGGAGGTTTCTCGAATCTCAAATGTTCGCCACGCTTATAGATAATAAAATTCTGTCTATATGGGGAGAAGTCGACTGTAACCTTACGATATTCGATAATAGAATAAAAGTACTCAAGAAACGATTTGGGAACGAAATGAGATCGGTATGCTACGAGCCCTGCATTAACGCTCACGATACTCAAAAACCGATTGATAGAAGACTGGCGTATCCCGATTTCGAGTCTCCACTGCCTAGGGAGATACTGAGCTCCAGAATTATTGCTTGTCGACAGTTTCCTATTTTAGGTAATAATTGTTTTAAAATTATTGTTTTTTCTATTGCGATAATCGTTATAAAGCGAGAGACAAAAAACTTTCTAAACTTTATTTTGATTTGAACATAAATTATTAAAATAACTATTTTTGAATATTGTTCCGTTCGAAATTTTGTACCATTGCCACTACTTCCTATAATATTAATAATTTAAAACAACAATTATTTAATAAAAATATATTTTCAGATAACGAAATACTGAACAAAACTCCCATAGTAAACAAAGGAAGCATACCGAGGGCTAGTGCATTAAAAAAGGGACTTAGTTTTTCTAAGCCGCCTGTTGGGCCTAATGATAAAAATTTGAAAAGTTCTAATAATCAAGACGTTTCACCCGCCGTGATAGCACAGGCAAACTGGACATTTGTCGAAAAACTTTTAAAAGTTAGTACAAAATGTTTTTAATATATCTTTTTTTTAATACATAGCGACTTTTTGTTTAATCTAAACCGTATTTTTGATTCATTATTAGGTTCACAATTAGGTAAGAATGTCATATTTGATAATTTGTAAATAGGGTTTACAAAACATTAATAGTTACAGTTTGTTCAAAACCCTAATATCTTTCAAGTAATTAAACATAATTGTCAATTTATAATGTGCTCTTAAAACTGCTTTTATATTGTTAGGTAGTGAGTGTTTTTGTCTTTCACTAATATATTTAAAAAAAACCTTGGATGACAGTAGAAATTCTTGAACTCATGGAAGAACGAAGAAAACATAAAGCAAAAGACCTGAATAAATACAAAGAAATTCAGAGAAACATCAGAAAGAAAATTCGAGAGGCAAAAGGGAGGTGGCTCTCCGATAGATGCAAGGAAATAGAAGATCTGGATAAAAAGTACGATAGCTTTAATTTACATAAAAAAATCAAAGAAATGACAGGTTCTAGAAAGCGCACAAAAACGAATATCCTTAAAAATGATAAAGGAGATATTATTACTGATATGAAGGAGAGATTATGTCACTGGACCAATTACATTCAACAACTATTTAATGATGAAAGAGAAGAACTGTCTTTAGAAATCACCGAGGATACTGGACCACCAATATTAAGAGAAGAAGTCATCTATGCCATCAAAAACACAAAAGAGGGTAAAGCTACTGGACCAGATGAGGTGCCCATCGAATTATTAAAACTCATCGATGAAGATGTTATTGATGTAATGGTTGAACTCTTTAATCTAATATATCAGACTGCCACAATCCCCAGACAATGGCTGCAATCAACCTTTGTAGCAATTCCCAAAAAACCAAGTTCAACAACTTGCTCAGACCACAGAACAATAGCTTTAATGAGTCACACACTTAAAACATTTTTGAAAATAATTCACAGCAGAATTGTTAAAACTCTTGAATATGAGATTAGTGACACACAATTTGGCTTTAGAAATGGTATGAGTACAAGAGATGCTTTGTTCGGCTTGAATGTGCTGGCTCAGAGATGCATGGACATGAATCAGGATATGTACTTATGTTTTGTAGACTTTGAAAAGGCATTTGATAAAGTTCAACATAAAAAGCTTGTAGATATATTAAAAAGCAAAAATATTGACAGTCGTGATCTGAAAATTATATCTAATTTATATTGGAATCAAACTGCCAAGGTAAGAGTTGACAGCCAGTACACCGAAAATATCAAAATACAGAGAGGAGTCCGCCAGGGTTGCGTGCTGTCCCCCACTACTTTTGAATGTCTACAGTGAAGCGGTATTTCAAGAAGCGCTCTCAGACTCAATAGAAGGTATATCTATCAATGGAGAAGTTTTGAATAACTCACGTTTTGCAGACGATACAGTAATAATTACGATAACAACAATGATTTACAGAACCTAATGCAACGCCTTAATGAACGCTGTCATGAGTACGGACTGAAGATAAATTTAAAGAAAACTAAATGCATGATCATGACTAAATCTGCACATGCAAATATCCAATTGACTATTGAAGATACTGCAATTGAGAAGGTTAATAACTATAAATATTTAGGAACATGGATAACATCAGATGTAGACCAAACCAAAGAAATAAGACACGTATTGAAAATAGCACGTACATCATTTATTAAACTTAAAAAGTTTCTTTTGTTGTCGGGATATAAGGTTAGAACTACGCCTGAGAATGCTTCGATGTTACGTGTTCTCTACTCTTCTTTATGGTCTGGAAGCTTGACACTCAAACAAGTTCATCTGAATAAGCTGGCCGCCTTTGAATTTAGGTGTTACAGAAGAATCCTACCAATATCATGGATTCAAAGAATGTCAAACATGGAAGTAACTAGAAGGATAGGAAATGAGGCGCGGAAATAATATTAACTATTAAAAGACGAAAACTTGAGTACTTGGGACATGTGATGAGAGGGCAAAAATATGCATTATTACAACTTATTATGCAGGGCAAAATCCGAGGAAAGCGAAATGTGGGAAGACGAAGAATATCCTGGCTTAAGAACTTAAGGGAATGGTTTGAATGCAGTAGTGCAGAACTTTTTAGAGCGGCAGTCAACAGAGTCCGCATAGCCATGATGATTTCCAACCTTCGATAGAAGATGGAACTTAAAGAAGAAGAATATATTTAGGACACCCTATTAAAGATATGTGTTCTCTATGCACTCTGCCTGAAAGAGCAGGATTAAAGATAAACTTGGAGAAAACTAAACTTGTGACAAATCTCGTAATGAGTGGAAATTTAACTATTGACAATAATACTATACAACAAACAGACACTTACAAATATCTGGGACATGAAATCAAAATAAGCAAAGACAATCAAACACATGAAATACAGAGGCGAATAGGCCTGACATGGGCAACATTTGGCAAATTAAGCCATATTCTAAAAAGTTCAATTCCTATGTGTCTCAAGCGAAAGATTTATAACCAATGTGTTTTGCCTGTACAAACTTATGGAGCAAAGACTTTAACACTCACGCGAATAAACTCGAGTTACACAACGAGCCATGGAACGTGCAATGTTGAACGTGAGCCTTCGAGACCACATAACAAACCGACAAATCAGGCAAAGATCAGGAGTTCAAGACGTCATCGAAAGAACGACGACGCTTAAGTGGAACTGGGCAGGGTACTTAGCCAGAACACAAGATGGACGGTGGACAAGACGTATTATGGAATGGACGCCCAGAAACTAAAAAGAAGCCGTGGACGACCACCGACTAGGATGGCCGATGATATAAAACGTGTAGCGGGAAACTGGCTACAAGCGGCCCAGTGTAAAGAACACTGGAAAGAACTGAGGGAGGTCTATGTCCAGCAGTGGACGTGTTTGGCTGATTGATGATTAAGATATGTGTTATATTAATGTCGCAGTTGCATAAGTCATAAATAGGACGATTTGATTTGGAGATTAAGTAGCTGTGAGTTAGTCTGCTATGACTTATACACAAACGGGTTAGGTTAACAAACAGCTGGCGATTTAAATTTATCTCGCACCGAGATTCGATTGAGGGCTTTACGATGCGTAGTGTTGATTGACTCTACACATCACCTTTTTCAGACAAAATCTGCTTGTTCGTTTCCTTGAAGTCCAATGTGTGATGGACCCATATAAAGCTTACTTGCTGCCTCGAGTTGTTTAGCAAATGTAATTGTTCTTTTATTAAAATACCTATGGGATTACTTGTATATAACTGTTCTATCGTATGTAATGCACTGAGAGAGCCGGTAATTATGACAGAATTTGAAATTTTTTGGATACGTATATAAATGAGGACTTGCAGAATTGAGTATTAGTTCTCCAGAGTAAATACTGCAACTGGAAGATAATTTCACACCATCAATAGTTTTGGATGAATCTGTATAGATATGACAATGATCTAGGAAAGAGGGAGGAAAATAGGAAGGAAAGGTCCAGGGGGAGGTGTGACTTTATTTGTCTGATCAAAAAATTTTGGTAATTACATATTATGAATAGAGAGATATCTTCTGATTCTCTCGTAAAAGAGAGGGTTCGTTCTTTTTTTATTTGTATATATTTATAAGTTTCTTTAAAACGTTCAGCGATAGTATGATGGAAACTGGGATAAACATTCTTCTAAAATTTGAAGGTGGTTCCCCGGTTAAACATTGTAGACTTTTAATAGGGTTGGTAAAACATCTAAACTCCAAACTAATACAAATAAAATAATCCAAGAAAGACGAATCTGAAAAGATCGAACTTCGGACAGCTTCAAAAGTTTAAATAAAAACATGAAGAAAGAAATTAGGAACGATCATAGAAACTATACTAACAATCTAATAAAAGATATAATACAAGATAACTGCAATATGAAAGTACTGAAAGCAAAAAACTCAAGCAGCATAACAAAAATCATAGAAATAAAAAATGAGAAAAACGTCACTGATTAGAGAATGGGAGATGGGAGCAATTGGGAGAGACCTACATTCAGGAGTGGATGGAAAATGGTTGACAAAGAGGGTTAGTACAAAATGCTCCTGTAGCTATTCTTAGTGCTGTATGACTTCTTGTTGGCCAAGAAGAGTCTTATTTATAGATGAGTATACAACTGATCCATAATCGAGTTTTGATCGTACTAGTGATTTGTAAATATGAATCAGATTTTTAAAATCAGAGTCCCAATTACGATTGCAAAGTGTCGCATTAAATTGATACCAGATTGACAAGATTGCTTAATTTACATAATATGGTATTTACAAGATATGATGTATCTTTTCTTGTGTTATATTTAATGGTTTTGTTTATAAAGCAGCTTTACGACATATCTGATACTTTCAATAAACTAAACAACAAAAACTTTTTTTACAAGCAAATAAACTATGTTACAACAGAAAAAAAATAAAAATTTCTAAAATATTTTCAAATTATGGGGTGACCCCAAATTTATGATCGGCAGTATATTTTGGAGACACCCCGAATATTCGTTTATTTTATTTACTAACAGTGATTGTGATATAATAAATTTATTTAATTTGTTTTAATATAGGACTGTAAAGCAAAAACTAAAAGAATGCTACTAGCCAAATTGGGTGCCGAAGGTGTTACTTTATCCAGTGGTAACAACGCAGTGGACAGCTTCGGTGCCGTGGAAGAAAGTACGTTAATCACATCGTTGTGCGATTTTCTGGAAAGAGTTTGGTCCCATGGACTACAAAAGAAAAGAAGCAAATCAGCGCTGTGGTCTCATTTACTTGCCTACCAAGAAAAATATCAGTATCTCAACAAGAAAGAAAATCACTTCGGCACTAATGACGTTTCGAGTTTAACCACTAATTTGGAGAACTGGAGTGGACATTTGGAAGATGCTAAATTAAGATCTGAATTACCCGAGTTGCCTTCGTCTATATTATTTGATATAACGTAAGACAATTTTTTATATAAAATTATACAGGGTGAGTTATAAATATGGCAGAAATTGTAACTGTATGTTCAGAAACCAAGAAAAATAAGATACTTAACAATAATACCCGTTTTTTAACTGGCATGACTGGTCGAGGTGCTGTGTACAGGCAATCCAGTTGAAGATTTTTCAACAATATTGGTCTTCCCGTCTGCTTGCTTCGAAGGATATTAATTTGTGAAAAGTAAATATCTTCATTTAGTGTTTCTTTATGGAACAGTGAAAATGGCTCACCTTTTTTTACTCTAGTCCACTGCATTTTTAACCATTACACTGATTGATTATCTGTATTGGTTTTTCTTTTTGTAATTGAGTTGTGAGTTGTGAGTGAGTTGTGCCAGATCTTTGAAGTCTTCTCTAAGCATTTTTGTGAAAATGAAAGCCTTTTCTTTTTACACCGAACTATGACTGAAAGCCAATCTTCAGGCACATAAATCTGTTTATCTTTAGAGTGATTTTCAATTGAACCAAAGTTTGAGTCGTTTGGTATATAAGAGTGTCCGCTTACCATAAACTTCTGGTTAATTATTTCGATACTATTATTTTCACTTTGAACTAACTGTAACAAGGCCAAGGCAAAATTCAAGCTTCTTTTTTGGCCGGTGCAGCTGTCACTGTACAATACAACATGTTTTGAATTTGCTGTACGTAATTTTATGTGCTTTGTGACACAGGCACTGATTTCCTGAGATACTCTCGAGGATGTTATTTCATTCAATCCATACATGTGACCTAAGCCATATGATAGCTCATGGCAGCCCAAGTTGTAAATGTACAATTTACGTTTATAGTATGCGGTAGATGTTGTAAGTTTTGGAAAAGCTAGGGCTTTCTCTAGGTCAGAAGTGAATGCATAGTAAGAATCGTTAGTCTGGGCCTTTTCTGTATCATTTTTCATAGAAGTACTTGTGCAAGCTCGGCCTTTCTAAGATGAAGTTCGTGCTCTACTTCAATCTGTCTTATCTCATTATCATCTGTTATTGCAGCTTTTTTTAATTTGTATCACACTTAGAGCACGTATCTTTTTACGGTACATGATTGAAGATTTTCAATATATTTCCGGACACAGTTCATACGTTTTTCAGATGTTTTATTGGTTGGTATACCATGGCCTCGATTATCTGAACCAGGTGGTTCCCCTTGTTTATCTTATTAATGGCCCGTGGGCTCATTCGTCTATCAGATATCTGAAAGGTTCCAAGAAAGTATTTTTTACATACTTTCGTGGTTTCGCCTTACTTATGAATGAAATATTGTTTAGAGACTGTCTTACCAGGTCTTGACTGATCCCTAGGACGGTTTACTTTATGTTTCTTTTACTTGATCAAATTACAAATAAAAGCATTCTGGCTGTAAATTATTTCAATTTCCAGAATGATTCAAATGCTTTTTTTCTATCTTCACATGATATCTTTTCAAAACATTTTTTATTGCAAAAACAGTTGTTGTTTGAAGAAGTTTTAACTGGCACTACTTTTCATTTTGTTGTCTTATACTCACAACCTGAGTTGCGAAGCCACTTTCTTTTTTATTTTCATGTCTCTGTCGTTTTCGTGATCTCTTAGGTTGTTAAACTTCAACTTCTTCTCTATTACTTTTCCTTTCATGGTCTTGGGGAGAGACTTCCTCGTTTGATTCACAGTCTGAAACAAACCAATTTTAATAAAATAAGACTCAAAAACGTTGTTCTATTTATAGGAGTTTATTTATTGTTAGTGTAAAGAATTATACAGTACTTTTTGTTGAGAATCCTAAGGTACCCACTCATTCCTGAGTAAGCAAAATACTAGGCTCATCAGTCATCACTCACATTACTTAAACTGTCGTCATCCATGACATCCATTGTATTGAAAAATCACAACACAAAAATACTAAATAACTGCCTTAGGAATGAAGAAATAGTGGTGAGAAAGTCTGACTTGCACCACTATTCCCCTACTACTACAGATATTTTGTTTTACTGTCAAGTTTGTGCTATCTGTGAGCAAATAGAAGAGGTATGGCTTACACCACTTTTGCTTCTGATAGATTTGAATATGCAGATTTTTGAGTATGCACTTATTCTATTATATAAAAAGTTACACCACTTCTCCTTTCACCGCCTCGAGTGCAGAAAAGTACTGATTTCTCACGAGTTTGAAAAGAGCGCAAGTGAGTGCCGCAATTTAAACGAGGAGTTAATCTTGAACGCAATGGGGTTAGTCTTTGAGTGGTGGGGTCATATATAGCTTCAGTTGCCATAAAAGCCCTGGTGTTGTTAGTTGCAACCCGATTAATTTGATTTAGCTATCCGCTTTGGCTCCTATGTAATGTTCTTTTTTTTTTAACTGAATTTATCGTTTTTTTCAAGCGATGTACGTTATAAGTTTGTTATGTATAAGTTTCCGAATAGCCTTATTATTTTCATCGAACCAATCCTGGTGTTTTCTTTTGGTATATGCAATAGCCTCTTCAGCATATGAGAGTATTGGTGACTTAAACTTTGTCTCGTACTCCTCAGTGTCCTTGGGATATTCTTCGGCAAGCTTAGCAGCTAGTAGTTCCTGGTATCTTTTTAAGTTTTGTTGGGCAAACCTTTACCTAGTAGAAGTAGACCTATTCTCTACCGGGATCGTAGAAAAATGATCAAAGTAACAATGTCTACAAGTTAATTGTAAAAATTGTTTACACTCTTTTGTTTACATTTGTATTTCTATTACTGAACTAGCAAACGTATTATTGCAAATATTTTGCATTTCAATATATTGTCCACACATTTTTTTTTAGCGTTTTCTTATCATTTATCTCTGTTTTCTATTATTTTGTATTTATTGGCATCGTAGTTTTCGTTTTCGGTAAATAATGAGTACCGCACGATAAACCCTTGTGTACTTTTACATCTTGGAACTGTATACATGAGTTTTATCATTATTACAAAGTTAATTGTAACATTTTACATTTAATTTAATTTTTAGGAACATTCAAGCTATGACAGATGTAAAAACAGCAATAGGTATGGCCAGGGCTTGGGTACGACTAGCACTAGAAAAGAAACAACTCTCTAAACATTTTCGAACATTACTGTCCGATCAAAGTTTGCTCAGGACGCTGTACAAACGCCTAGCTTTCGTACGATCCGAAGAAGAACGCGAACAATTCCTTTACCATTTGCTCTCTTTGAACGCCGTGGACTATTTCTGTTTCACCTGCACTTACCCAACAACTGGTAATATAAATTATTTCATATTTTTTGTTTCTAACGGCTGATTTTGTATTGATTTGTAAAATAGAATAAATTTGACTTATATTTTCAGTGATACCGTACCGGATTGTGATTGTACCAAATAAGAAAGGTACAACGTCGTCGGCAAATGTATGGATGGTTCTGTCAGGAACTCTTTCAGAAACGAATCGACTCGTAGTTCCAAAAGCAACGTTGAATTTGAATATAAGGTATTTATAATGAGTTAAACTATTTTCGAGATTGCTAGAGTGTACTTGAACGAGTAAACATCGTTTTGTGTTTGTGTTTACTACATAAACATATGTAGTGATATTTGATAAAATGTGATATAATTATTATGAACTTGTACAAATTAACTTATTCTACCTAGAGACAAAAGGCATTGTGTGCAAAATTTGTCAGTTCTATTTCGACAGTGTTCCCTTCTGATCTAGTATGAATAAAAATCAGGCAGATAAAGAATGTAAATATATCTAGAATCACTGCACTAATTAAGCCAACGTTGTTATAGACGATCAATAGTACAGCTTTCTGCATGGCCTGGTAGAGATGTTCATTTAGACCCAGTTGTTCTATGTTCTCTAGGAGGTTTTTTGGAATATCACAGTAACTAGTATGAAATCCGGTCTATTATGTGCCACTAGTTGGTCTGTGAGCACAGTGCAGTCCCAGTATAGCTTGTAATTGTCATTTTTAAGCCTTCTGTCAGGGACGTAAAGATAATAAAAAGATGGTGGGTTTCTAGAAGTTCCAGTTTGTCAGCTAGTTTTTGGTGGATAATCTTTCTTACTGAGTCATGACTTTCTTCATAATTAGTTCCGACAAACGCCTGGCAGCCCCCGTGAAGATGTAGGATGGTTTCTTGGGCTTGGCATCCATATCGGCATTTGTCATTTTAGAGTTGAGGATCTTTTTGATTATTATTATTATTATTATTATTACATTTTAGTTTCAGATGTCAAAAATTTTTAAAAATAATAAAATTCTAAAATCTTCTTTTGATAAAACTATCAAAATGGGTGTTCTGTTCGGGTAACGATAATAGTCCTACCGACAGGTCCATTCGCAGTGTGGTTAATAGATTTGAGTCCACGAAAGGCAAGATATGAACGCAAGATCGGTCGAAAAAATCGCCGCTGTCCATGAGAGTGTTCAGAGAATCCGAGACAGTTGATTCCATGTAGTTCACAAGAACCCTGCCTTTCACAGACCAACTTGGCAAATTTTACGCCGTCACTCTGACATGCATCCATACAAAATTCAACTGACCCAGCAGATAATACATAAACAATGACCTGTATTCACTGGAGCCGTTGGAAACTGACCCTAAGTTTAAAATGGGTACGTCAATAAACAGAATTGTCGAATTTAGAACGACACCAATCCAGATGAGATTCAAAATCTTTCAATACATCCTGAAAAGTCACTGTTTGGTGTTAATTTTGGATGGGTCCATGTTTCTTTGAGAACGACGTTAACTAGGTCACGGCGAGCGTTATAGATCGATGATTAACAACTTCTTTTGGCCCAAATTGGATGATATGGACATAACCAACATGTTTCAACAGAGCGGCCCTACGTACCACATAGCTCATGCCGTGCGGCTGAAATCGTGCGATTTGACCCTGTTAGACCCTTTCTTGTGGGGTTTTCTTAAGATTCTTGTTCCAATTAAATCACTACACAGAATAACATCATTGACCAACATACTTCTATTCCTTTCGCATATTCCGTAATACACGTCGTGTATTACTGTTTTTTATCCTATCAAAAAATGTGCACAATAGCGTTTACTTTTTCTGCTCTCCCCTTCACTACGTGGTTAACTGAACTTCACTTCACTGTTCACTAAACTTTAAGTATCTGTGTACTTGTCAACTTGGTTACCCATCCCTTCTTTGTTTAAGCATCTAAAAATCATGACGTCAAATGATAAGGCGTTAAGCGAGGTTTTACATGTACATATATGCATGTACAATTGACGAATTCTATATATGAACAACAAAATTTAATGATGTAACTTAGACTTTACATCATAGATACTCTTTCGTCGCATTGAAATTTGACAAGTCTTAAACATTGTTGTCAAAATTGTTTTTAATGTAGCATTTACCTGAGACTGAAAAGTCGAGATATATAGCAAAACTAGAAGAAAATTGGTCTTTAAGTAAAGTAAGTGCTGAATTAAATGTATATTTTTCTTTAATAAATGTGGCGACTGTCCAAAAACTTACATCGGTCAAACTGGTAGAACTTATAACAAACGTATATCAGAACATAAAAGAGATTTCAATAATAGAAAAGCAGATTTTACGTACGCACTTCACCTTCTAGATCATAATCATTTTTTCAATGACGAATTTCAAATTCTTCACATCGAAAATAAAGGCCTTAAGCAATCTTTATTAGAATCTATAACATGTATCGTTTTGTTTTAGCATCAAAATTTGGGCGTTCTAACGACACTGAGAATCGGTCATGACAATACAGGACTTTATGCCAAGTGGATGATTGAATACATCATCGTAAGGAATGACATATCGGGCCACACTTACAAGTAAGTAATTTAGTATATTTTGTTGAATGCCACAAAATGTTTATGTTGTTCGTGATGTTAGAAGACTATTTTTTATTGCTCAAGCTTTCTTTGTTATTCTTTTTCAGGAGCAGATAAATCTGTATTGTTTAATAAAATTACTGCATTAAATAAATTAAAACTAACCTTATGTTCTTAAATGTTAAAATAAAATATAATAAGAAAACCTTCTCTAGGCAAAATGAATGTTCCTCTTTCTACATTTTTTTAAAATAATCAATTATTTTAAAAGAGGAGAAGAGATAATTGGAAAACCAAGGCCAAGGATAGGAAGGAATGGAAGCTGATCCTAGACTAGAACAGGCCAAGACCCACTATAGGTTGAAAAGCCAATGAGGATGATACTTCTTCTTTTCTGAACTCCTTTACCCCTAGTATGTCAGATTATTTGTTGTGTTAGTATCTATTCTCTTTTTCATTCTGTTCTATTTTTAGATATCATTTCATTTCAGGGTATTTATCACTCTGGCTTTACCTGCTTTTATAATTCCATTTATCCAGCTTGTTTTTACCCTCCTCTCTTTCGTTTCTTTACTGTTTTGGATTTTAATATTATCTTTGACCATCTTCTCTATATGTGCCCAAACCATTCCAGTTGTTTTCGGGTTATTTTACTTATGTGTTTGTTCTTTTTATATACAGATCATAAAAAGGTTAGATTTTAGTGTATTCCACGGCACCTTACACTATTTTTTATATATATTTTGTATGTTATGAAGTTATACTCAGTATTTTTCTTTGAAATATAGATTTCCGTGTGGTCGTTGGTTGGGACGAGGAGTGGATGATGGTTCGACAGAAAGACTTCTAGTTGGTAGTTTAATGTCCAGAAAGGAAGAAGTCGAAGAAATTACTATAAAGTCCAGTGGTGGTAGTTTGGGTAGGTCAACTCCAAGATCCAGGTCGCCGGCTATTGCTCCAAGAAGTGAGATGAAACCATCACAGATTCAACATATGCTAGGTAGATATAAACTCCTTTCTAGACACACTACACCCTAGGTATAAATTTTTTATGGCTATAATAAGTATAAGTGTATCCTTATTTTTTTTATACTGTAAGGGCCGGTTCTACAATCCAGGTATAAACTGGAGAATAGTTATTCTGAGTATAACTTATACTTGAGTTTATTCCAAGTATAACCTTTCGAGCGTTATACATTGTGAAATCGACAGCGGAATAGTTATTCTGGGTATAACCACAGAACACTAAGGTAAAACGAAATAGTAGATCTGATACATGATACTATTAACCATGATACTATGAATAACAAGATAGAATCTTCCCGTAGCTCAAAATCAGTCGGGTTCGCGCATGCCGTCATTGGAGACTAGAATTTGAATTCTTGTTAAAGTTAAATGTGATTTGTATGCATTCTGTGATGAAATTACTAGACGAAAATAAGTTCAGAGGTTTAATAATTACAATAATCGTACACATAAGGATATCTCCAAACTATTAATTAAAGATTATTTATTGATATATACAAAAACTGTCATTTAGAACGTGCAAGTCTCCAATGATGTCACAAAAACATGCGCAATATCTTATCTTATAGTCATAGTATCATGCTATAAACTACAGATAAACCCACGCGCACGCGATCAGTCGTGTGACGTCACTTGGCGACAAATGTCACCAGAAATGTTCTGTGTTGTATGGAGTTTTGTCAGATTTAGTCAAGGTTGGTAGATATTTAAGTATCTACTTAAATATCTACTAACCTTGAGATTTAGTTTTGTTTTATCGTTTATCTTGTACGTTGACATCGGTTTACTGGGTAAACCATCTTTCCGAAGGAGGTTTACTTAAACCATATCCAGATTTTTCTAATTAAATGTAATGAACTGGACCATATTTTTAACAATTTTAACAAAGGGTCATTAAATTAACCAAGAAATATTTAAAATCGCTAATAAATTTAGCTGTGTTCAGATGTAATGTTAGTAAAGGTGTAAATTATATTTTAAAATTAGAAAATTGAATAGATATATTAAAGAAACATTCAAAGTTAAGAAGAAGAAAATATTAAAAATTGTAAAATAAATTATTAAATAAACTTGTAAATTATTACAGTGTATTTTATTTTATCAGTTGTATTAAATTTTTATTTTAATAAATCAATCCATTGTATATAAATTTCCATTTGCAAAAGGATGTTTAGTTCTTACTTTTTTATATAATTTTAGTTTACATTGCTAGGCTAACAGAGATGTATATATAACATATTTTTAAGATTTAATTGCAGATATTTTACCTAACATCTCTTAATATTCTAAATATTTAAATAAAAACCCTTTCTTTCCATATATGTTTTACCGACTGTGATGATAAAAGGTTGGTGATAAAAGTGACTGTTATCACCAATTGACGTCATGCGCGTCGATGTACAAAATTCGATTGCGAAGTGGGTTTATCTTGGAAGTCTTAGTATCATGGATCTGATATCTTCAAAATTAGTTCAAATTGTTATTGACAGCGACATTTGGCATTTGTCATAACTGTAAAATTTGTTTACAATTGAAAGGAATTGAATTGAATAATTGATTCGCTTTATCTGGTATTTTATCTACGTTTATATTATTATACTTTACAAAATTAATATAAAATGGATAAAAAAAGATGTAAAATTTCCTTCTTAAATTTTTTATTATCATCAACTGAGATTAGTGTTAAATATAATAACCAAAATTATGTAAATATATCTATATAGGTACTCCACATTTTAAACAAGTATGAATGTTGGATTACAAAATATATAATTTTAGTTAAAGAAATGTTTATATAATACAGATTCTAGAATTACAGTCTCTGTTATCACAACATTAAAAAATATATTGCCTTGGTAAGATTATACCTATACTATATTAGTCATATATGTAGACATTATTAGATTACATACATATCCTAAAATTTTAGAATTGAAATAATAAATGCTTTCTTTTTCCTTTGGATTGCCTAATAAAATTTCCTTTGGATTTACAATCTAAAATGTTTTGCAATATAAAATTTTTTATTTTATATATAAAAACAAAGTGAGGTTAAAATATTACAGATTTGACAACCCCTGACCGACCAATAGAAATGCAGTATAAATTTATACTGGGTATATCTGCTAAACTTTGGAGGGATAAAGTTATTCTACATATATACTCCGATTATCTTATTCCTAGTTTATTCTTTGTTTGTAGAACACCATTAATGAAGTTATTCCAAGTATAACTTTATTCTTAGTATATACTAGCATTGTAGAACCGGCCCTAACTGATGTTATTGTGGGGTAATTATTTACTAAGCCGGAACGCCTTAAAAAATGCCCAATTTTTTGTGGACTTAGCCGAAAAAGTGAAAAAAACCTCAAATTTTAATGTTTTCTTTGCTTTAAACTATTAAAAGTGCCCAAATAATAAAAAAATCAGAAAAAATACCAAAAAAAGTATTACCTATTAACCAAAAAAAAATTACATAAAAATCAAAGAAAAGTATATATACATGTCTTAATAAAAAAAAACGTAACTAAAACATATTAAATATCACTATTTTTACCGTAAAATTATGAAAAAAATGCGTAAAATTGTTTAAAATAATCAAGATTTTTAATATTTCAAAACAATATGGCGGCCATCCGCAAGAAGTTAAATTTTATGTACATTTGACATTGTTGCCAGTTTTAATTTCATATATTTTTTACATTTTATTATTAAAAATGCAAACCAATAAACCAAATCTAACCCAATAAGAAAGCATGACAATAAAACTAAACCAACCTAACCTAACCTAACCTAACGCTCGTAAAAAAGCAGTAATAATAATAAAATTTTGTAATATAATTGAAAATGAAATGTTTTATTTTTCATAAGAAAATATGATAATAAACGTAAAGAAACGTAACCAAACCTAACCTGACCCTTGTAAAAAAAGCTATAATTTTCAGTTAAAAGTAGGTAATAATAAAATGTTATTTTAATGTCCAATTTGAAATTCATTAGAAAACATAATTTTGAACAACTATGGCAACACTGGTTAAAATTACCATTTTGGCCATAAGAAACAGTTGTCATTTCTGTCATTTCTTGTTGTTTCATGGCAAAAATTGCAAATTATGGCGGTGGCTTTTAAAAATCGGGCATATTTTAAATGGAAATTACATAAAAAATAACGTCTTGCACCGCATAAAAGTCATTGCACAATCATAAGTAAGTGAAGCAGAATTCATTGATATAAATTTCATCTCCGTAAACATGTTTCCGGCTTATTACACTAGTACCAAAATGTGGAATATGCGCATATACAGAGTGGTCGGACGAAAAAAAATCAGAGGCATGATCAAAAACTGCGACATTTTTGAAAAACTCAACGACACGTTGATATTTGATTTTATTTATTTATTTATTTATTTGATTTTTGTATTTTACCTCACATCGGAAAGGCAAACAGTGCATTCTTGACTATGAGTTCTGTGTTCAAGAGCGATTACCTCACCCTAGAAACAAAAATAAGGCTCCTTAAATGTTATGTGTACTCAGTGCTTCTGTACGGAGTAGAAACGTGGACTTTGAAGGCGGAAACTCTATCAAAACTTCAGGCTTTTGAGCTATGGTCATACAGAAGGATCCTAAAGATACCATGGACAGACAAAGTCACCAATGAAGAAGCACACGAAGGATGAACACAACTGCGGATTTGGTCAACATCGTGAAGGGCCGTAAGCTGCAGTACTTGGGACATATAATGAGAGATCAAGGCAGATACTTCAATGCATTTTGCAAGGTAAAATTGAAGGAAAAAGGGCCCCAGGACGAAGAATATCCTGGTTTGCTACCCTGAGAGTATGGTAAAGAAAGACCTCAACACAGCTATTTCGTATAGCAACCAACTAAATCATCATGGCCAGAACGATCGCCAACGTTCGGAACTGACAGGCACCCTAAGAAGAAGAAGTATTTTACCTTGACACCTAAGCCTGATCAAATGAGATCTAGTTGTGAAACCTATGCAATTCCCTATAGATTAAATATAGTGTTTAAATTTTTAAATTCGGCCTAATATTTTATTTTATTTATTTAAAAAGAAATACATTTTAAATTGTATTTAGTTTAGATTTTAATTTCTTTCTTCGCACAGCTTTTTTTTCTCACATTTGTCACACTAACTATATTGTAAAATTATAAACAGATAAATAACGTGAAATTAGAGGATTCTGTAAGAGAGTAGAGGAGAAGTAAGAGAGTAGAGGAAATTGTAAGCAGTAATTTGTAGTTTTTGAAAATGCCTTACTATGATTTATATTCTGTTTTTGTGATATTGTTACTGTTAATTCATTTATACGTCCATGGTTAATTCAGACAGATAAACCTCAAACAAAATATTGGGTTTTTAACTATGAGCATATTATTGGTGTTCAGTGTTAGAATTGACACGGATGAGAGGTTAAGATCAGAATAGTGCGAAAATTGAAAGAAGAGCAAAATAAAGAAAATAATTTGCGTTGGAAGAAATATTTGAAGAAAGATAGGTGTTTGTAGCATTGTTGCAAAGTTGAAATAATGTTTTTAATCTTAAAAGTTTACCTCGCTTCATGAAACAACCACGATCTAGGTAATATAAGTTTTTTTAATGTACTGAGGGGGGAAAACATTTAAAACTTTGCTGACACACCACAGCATGAATGACCAGTTTCCAAACGTAACGTCGATGAAAGGAGTCCGGCGACTTGAGGAGAAAATACTTCATGTCAACTTGTAATTGGGATTTGTTGTACGTTTAATTTTTATTTACATTACAATTTAATTTGTAGTTTAAGTTGATGAGTACATAAGAGTTTTAATATAAGTATCTGGTTTTTCTACCATGGTTATTTATTTCATTCTGATTGATTCTTGCAGGAGACTGTGTAAACAAAATCATTAAATGGCATCATAGAAGAACATCAGAACGCCATACAACGCTAACAGCCCTTCTTTGTAGTGATAACGGCCTAGTTTTCTGTTTAGAAAACGTTTTTCTACTTGGTTTTAAATCTGCGAGACTTTTTATGGGAAAACATTATCTTTGGGACTATTTTGGTAAGTTGTGCAATAAATTTTAATTGGCGTATTGATCAAAAATATTATTTCAGTACGAGTCAAGGAACAGTTTGAAATGGAATTACTGGAAGAAGTATCTGGAAACCGGACGCACAGTTTGGAGAGAAATCACCAGGAAACCGTAGCCGTTTGGAGGTGTTACTGCCATCTTATTGAAGAAATAAACCAGACGAGTAAAACTCTTGGGAAAGATGGAAAATTTCAACAGTTTATTTGTCTCAGTGTTAGGTAAGTATTTACACTTTAAAATCTTATACCTGACGAATATTAATCTTCTTCCTCTTTATAAGCAATTCTGCTTGTTCATTGGCGGATTAATACCTCTGTGGAAGCTTGTCACTCCATCTTTTGCGCGGTCGTCTTATATTTCTTCTGCCGATTGGTGATTTAAGAACGAAAGAAAGGGAGAGAAAACAATTACAGCCAAGGGCTTTACGGCTTGCTGATGTGTATATACACTGTGACATGCAGCTCTTTTAGACAGCAAACGCAGTAAAACTCAGGTTTGTTACTCAGTAACTCAGTAAAAATACGGTGTGTTAGGACACACACGTCGACGGGAAGAAATGATGGTTCGATCAACATTTGATCCGACAAGGAGCGGGAAGTGACTAATCAACACTTATCCACGGAACAGGTCTCTCTCAGATCAACATTTTAAGACCGGTAAGGAGCTAAATCAACACTCTAGCAGAAGCGGTTGGCCTTTAGTCTACACTACATCCCAGGGCCAATGGAGTTGTTTCCAGATCAACATTCTGATAGAACTCCGGTCAACATCCAAAGGCCCGGTAAAGTTCCCACCAGTTCAGCACTCTGGCGGAACTCGATTCTCTTTTCCAGCGTACCCTGTTTTATACCTGCCTTTAAGAGTGCTTACGTGCAGACCGGTGGCGATGCACATCGTTACAATACTCATATGGTCTTATAGGCTTCACTCGTCATTACACGTTCCATGGTTCGTTTTTTCACTCGCAGTTAATATAATAAGTTTGTACCACCAAAATACATTTTTAAAAAAGGAGTCTACATTAATATATTGTTTCTTTTCAGAGAACATCTTCTGCACCGAATGTTAGTACCCATGTCAAAATGTAAGGTAACCCAAGAGATGTACGAGGAAAATTCGTTTCTTCGGAAAAAAGGTCTGTTGACGTTTTTATGGCAGATATTACTACCATTGGATGAACTTGATGTGGTTCTTGAGAAAACAGTTTCCGATGGCATATCTTCGCCGTCTTCCCATATTTAAGTTAGTTGGGTAAAATTTTTGGGATGTCAAATACAGCTCTTAATATTAAGTTATTCGGTGATGACGTGGAAAATATTTTAAATTAAATTTTACCAATTTAGTCGTAAACATTTTGTCCAAAACATTAATTACTTTTAATTTTTTTTAACGGGATGAAAAGAGGAAGGAAGAAATAATGAAGGGATTTTTAAATTTGTTTTATATACATATATATGCACACCGGTATTTAGGCTGTACGTCCTATGGAGGAGTATCACCGAGCTGCAAGCCCTTATCTCTTGCCGTACTGCTCCACCATAGGCCGAACCCGCTTGGCTATCTGACCGACTATTTTTTTATATACAATTTTTTAATATCTATAATTTATCTAGAGTTTTTGTTTTAGCGTGTCTCATTAAATATTTATTATGTGCAAGTACTAAGTATTCCATTATGTCTTTTTATATCAGTTGTATATATAATATGTTATTTCTCTAATAACTGAACTATAAGAATTAATGCAAGTTATTTAAAATGATCATCATCATCCATGGTACTACAGTACTATAGTAGAGGCTGTACCGCCTCAAGTCTATTTCGCCAGTCAGCACAGTCTCACTCCTCAAAAATTTCTCTCCAGTCGTCCCTATCTATCGCCTTTGTTATCGACACGAGAAAAAAACACGTTCTTTTCTAACCTCTACAGAAAAAATACTACTATAGCGACAAAAACGTGTTTTCGTACTGGAAACACACCTACATATTATTGCAGGAAACAATAACTGCATAGGTTTGATCAAAAATATCAATAAGAAGTGCTTTCTACGGAAATATGATTATTATAAAAAAAATATGATTATTTGCATTTATCAAATTGCTATGATAGATTCACTAAAAAGTTCTGAACCTAGGAAATAGAAATCACTTTGCCAACTTGTGATCTTCCTTATTTCACCCGATTACTTTATGACCAGGTCCCCACATCCATGCACCAAAAGACTTCAGAGCTTTGAAGTACTTTGATTATCTGAAAACAGATAGACCTTTGTCTTTTTGCTTTTTACAAATATCTCCTGTGTCTGATGATGGCGTGTATTTATTAAAAAAAATGTTTGGGGCGTTTCTAAAAGATTTTGAAAGGCTGAAATCGACTGATCAAACGTGGATCCATCCGTTATAGAGATGTGTGATACTGTGTTGAATGGCACTTTCGTATTGACACTTTAGTGTGTGTCAATCGTATTGATACAGTTGAAATGACACAGTGACACCTATGACACAGTTCAACACACCAACACAGCGTATTAAAATACATACTTTGCGATACAGACAAGCATATGTATCATGTATGTATGTGATACATATCCACAAGCTCACAAATTTAATTATGTAGTATGCGTTGTTGCCGCGAGTATATTTGTAAAAATACCTACTCAAAAAAGTGAAGAAAGTTTATAGTCGGCAATTAAAAGAATGAACATATAAGAAATTCATTTTTTAGTAAAGTTAGAATTCCCATTAAATGCCCCAGAAAGTAAGTGACTTCAATAGAATGCCTCCCATGTAGGAGTTTCTTTAGACAGATGATGTATATACACTAGGTGTTCACTAGGGATGTGTAGTTCATCATCGAAATAGTTCAAATGAACGATTCTTTCAACTGAACTAATTGAACTAGTTCGTTAATTTTCATAGAACTAGTTCACTACGAACGATTTGCATTATAAATTGTGAATTTATGAATTTGTAACTTCTAGAGAAGAAAATAATGAATGAGATCATATATTTCGAATGGAACGGGTCGAATTACATAGTAGTCCCTGATAGAAACAAGGGGAGTAGGCTTTTTCTTAAGAATTATAACTGCTTTCTCTTCATCTTCTAATGCTTGTCCTACTAGCGAAACTGATTTTGACGTTGAAGGTTGAGGTATTTTCTGATTTTTCGGGTCCTTTTTCGATGTATCTTTCAACATTGAAATTGAATAGCAGGGTGTTTAATTGTTAAATGTCTTGATAAATTGCCCAGTGAACCACTTGCAATACTAACATCACATGAACAGTAATTACATTTTGCAGATTTTTGATTTTTATCGTTTTTCTCGAAATGATCCCATAAAAAACTTATATTTCGTCCGTTACTCATCTTTAGGGATTGATTAAAAAAATAAATTATTATAAAGAAAAACTAACTAATCATATAATAAATTGAAACATTTAAACCTAAACATACGATCAAAAGAAATGGTTCCGAATCCGAACTACTTGTACGCCGTACGGTAGTGAAAGACTGACTGAAAACCGAAGAAAACGTGCGGCCGGCGCCGAGCTTGTGTGAGGATTGAGACGAGACATCTGGCAACCAGTTATGTTAGGTTGGTTGGATTTCGATTTCGGTCCTACAAATAGTTCTTTCGCGAACTAGTTCATTTTTGTGAAATAGTTCTCTTGAACTTGTTCGTCTAAAAGAACTAAGAAGCACACCTCTAGTAGGCACATAGATTATTCCCTCAATTTTAGTGATATTACATATTTTATTACGCAAATTGTGCAATGTAGAAATTCTTTTCCCGGTATATATTATTACAACAAAATATTATAAAATGCATATCAGTTCTCTTTGGAAATTTATCCTTCCCCTATTAATTCCGTAATCATTTGATTTTATTTAACTAAATTGATATTTTTCCACCTCATCATAAAAAATATGCTAAGTTTGTTTTTTAGTACTGTTAACTTCAAGGGAAATGTTAGTTATGATAATTATTAGGAAAAGTAGAGAGCAATCAGAAATGTTGAACAAGTTTGTTTGTTACATAGATTTTTTGTTAAAATTTCTAGTCTCTTTAGCTTTTGATTTAGTTACCAATGATATTTACCGTAGAAGTGATATTTATTTTTGTATATAGTCGATGTTCAATTTATATATTGTGATTTTTTGTATATAATCTGAATGAAGTTTATTTTATTTTTGCATGAAAATCATTTGATATTTGACGTTTATATACAGTTTGCCCAATGAATATACTATCAGATAACCAGTAACAATTAGATATAAGTAATTATACTCGTTATAAGTAGTGCTGTCTTAATTTTTAATAATATTTTTTGGATATTTTTTAATGATTCATGGATTTTCATTTTTCCTCGATTTACCACTTTGAGCTAGATTTAACTAATCTTCCTAGTTTGTGTAATTAGACAACTAGCTGCTACTGTTAAACCATCATGTGAACTTAAAGAATCTAGTTTTCGTGACCAAATTTCATTGTTTATAATGTCGTCGTGAAGCCTGACACTCGATGTTGCGTTTTAATAGATATGTTAAGAGTGTTCGATTCCTTACAACTCTGTGACATACATAAAATAGTTACACTTCCTGTTTGGGTGCCTGGTAAAGAAGTGATGAAATGTTTCTGACGCTGAACTTAACATTTTGTTCCCATCTGTTACAGATATTATGTTTCCTTCGGGAAAGAAATATTTAAGACTGATATCAGATCCAAAATAAAACATATTGTTTATATTATGTCCTATTATCTGTTCTCATAAAAAATTGATTTAATGCGTAACTGACATTCAAAATGGCCGGTCGCTTCAAGGGTTGTTTCTGAGAAAACGGCTTATGTCAGCTACATATTGGTAAATCAATATTCAGCTTGTTCGTATAGTTTTTAAAGATCAAATCTCTGACGCAAAAATCGTAGGTGGGAAATTTCAGCTTAAAAGGTACATAATAACCTAAAAAAGTTAAAAATATTGCGCTCCTATGAAGCTGCGTGATTTATGATTGACTTATTGTTTTGTTTTGATATTCTTCAATCATCAAGAACTTATTTAACTTTAATATTAAACCTTAAATATATAATTTTACTATGATTCTCATTTGTGATATTATCATTTCTTTGAAAATACGTTTTAGTACAATTTATGTTGTGATAATGTCCGTATTCTTGCCAAACTATGTTTTTATTATATTCATTGGGGTATACTGTATATATTTTTAGGTAGATATAATGGTGTGTCTGGAAATGCGGGAGTATTTACATTACTCATTAATAGGCCCATATTTAGTCAACATTCATGCTATAATTAAAATATTGAAAACTTGCGTTTTTAGAAGCTATTTAGGCTAGAAAAAACCTTCCTTAAATAATATATTTTGGTAGATGTTAGCCAATTTTGATTATCTTGGAACAATACTGAGACCACCAAGATTTGAGCGTTTAATTTCAATATGAAAAAATAATAAACGTGATTTATATATTATACGTTGTTTTCCGGTCTTAAGGTCCGTGGTCTACAATTGGTTCTTCGTTACATTTCGAATACAATTGGGGGGACAGACACTAAAGAAATGTGGAAATGATCAGAATTGTGTGTCTGATCGCTAACTGAGAGGATTTCTTGAAGACGTGCTTTATTTATACCATTCGTTAGCATTTCGCACTATGTCAGTTGGTAAAAGTCAGCATTGGATTTTTTCCGCAACATATAAGGCCAGAAAACAATGTATACTCGGTTTCATCGTTCTTGGCGTGTGGCTGAAATAAGCTACTACGGAATTTTTAATATTCGTCTCTCTCTGATACACAGATGCGTAATTCAATTGTGCGAGTCACGTTTGTCATGGTAAAGTGCGATGAGAAGGGAATGAAGAGACCACTCACGTCTCCCAGTATTGTAGCAATAACACCGATGCGTTTGGCCAATACGGTGTCGGTGATAAGTTAGGCCTCTTTACGAATACAGATAGCTGCCACTGGAGGAGGTAAACGAATCGAGCTTAGACAAGGAAAGACAGATGAAACAACTTATTGCAAGTGTTTTTACACGCGCACGTCAAGAAAGATGAAAACGTCTATATCATAAATCATCGACCTTGAAAGTCTGCACTTTTTATAGATGCGGTTTAAAGAATGTCAAGTTCTAATATATTGCAAAATATTGCTGGGACTAATATAGTTTTCAATGTTTTACTCTCATGAAAAATAATTCTGGGTGTTTTAAAAGTGTTCATAATTGTTAAGATATTTGAAAATGTTTCTATCGTATAAAAAATGTTTCTAAAATAACCATTTATGAATTAAATGTACACTACATCAGATTTATCGGAAAAATCTTACAGATAACATAGACTTTTATAAATGATAGATCTATATACATAAAAGCTGTCT